GAAATCTTTCTTCTGCTAGAATACATGCTAGAGCACATTTTTTAAAAAAAATAAAAAGGCAATATCCTAAGCTCTCACTATAGAGATGCTTGATCAATGAACTATATAGAAAGGAGTCAGGTTTAGGCACACACATGAAAGGTATTGTTAGAGAATTACAGGGTTTTGTTTGTTTGAATACAGCTACCTGCAGAAAGTGCAGGTGTAGGAAGAGAGACTACAATGCAACCAAGAAGAAGAAATGAAAAAACTCAGTTGTCTACAAAACTCTTCTTTTTTGTGGGTTAGCAGTTCAGTCACCAGTCTGTCCAGGTATTTCACAGCTGTGAAACTGAAAATTTTATGTGCATTCACTTGCAGCCAAACCATGCTAAGAGTTCACCAAGAAAATAATCTTTGGGTATTAGTCACAATAGAACACGGGCTGAATCAATTTTTCCTCCTACAGTGAAGACTGTATAGCCTAATCCTAAAACACACAGAGCTGAAAATATTTCAAACACTATGGGCAGATGCAGCAATACTGGGCTTTCAACCCATTATCCCCATAGCATTTCCCTGACCGTTCTCTCACCTCCAGGGCCAGATTCCAATCTGTGCAGTAGATATAGTACTGCCACTTACCTCGAAAAAAACCACTACTGTGCTTTTTCCAAGCTCTGATGCAAATCTGGCCCCAAGAATACGTGAGACACTTATAATCATACGAATGTTTTCATCACAGCATGGAAATAATTAGACTTGGAAAATCCAGCCTACTGTTGCTGTAGGGTAAATTGAAACAAGAAGAGAATTTGGTAGCTTGTTCAAAAAGATTAGAAAGTGAATGTACAGCTATATTGAAGAACAAGAGCTGTTTAAGTGAAGTGGAACACAAACTCTTGAGCATGTTGGACTGAGATAGATGATAAAAAAACCAGTCTGGCACTCACAGAAGTACAGCAATATCTTTAGACAAACACTGAAACCAGAAGACAAAGGATAAGATTAAACAAGACAGTATTTCAGCTGGATCTCTTTCCCACCCCAACCCATAATCAGGTAAGAGTCAGTCCCAATATGACACATCAGAGATATCTTGGAAGCTGAGGATACTAAAGCTAACATAATAGTTCATTTCAGTCTCTGAATTATATATTAAACTTATTACTGATTAACTTTTCCATGCCTCCATTCTTCCCAGCCTACTACTGTCAAAACTGCTACCCTTATTAAATGAGCAGACAGGTGTTTTACATAAAAGTTATTAATCAGATTTGAAGCAATTTAAAAGTTAACATAACACTGGCTTCCACCAGATTTCCAAAACGAGTCCCTGAAAAAAACTTAAGCTGAAGTGAAACAAACGAGTTGTTATTTCACTGTAAAAGAATTAATGCCAGATAAGCCAAGAGATGCTGAAAGAGAATGCTTTAGAGTTCCTCTGGTGACATAAGCACATATTTCCTGAACTCTATGTGAGAAAGCTGTGAAATAAACAATTCCAGCAGTAAAATGAATGTTAGTACATTCACTGTCATCACCTCACTGTTATCACTGCAAGTAGGTCTGAATGTGAGGGGTATGTGGTAATTTCTGTATTAAAGCAACCAGAACACACTATCATGTTATTATTAACATACTTTGTAACTAGAAAAACATCTCTTCGTTCTTTGTTCAGCCCCCTCCAAACTGAAGAAACCTCCCTAGTACTTCTCAGAGACTACTAATATTCTTAAGAAGAAACAGGGTTATTAAAAGAAAATGTGTGGTGGATCATGAGGCCTTTCTCATGATCTCAATAGCATGCTGGGGATTTCTTCAAAGTTACTTAAAATATGTAAATCATTATAAATCACAAGTTCTATTATTTTATCGGTTCGGTGAACACAAGCAGACAAAAGAACACTGCAACAGTATCTGATGATTCTTCTCCTCTGCCCATTTTGAAAGATGTTCATCTACCTAATACCACCCAACATACTTCGTTCTAATAGAGCTTATGCATACAAACAAGAAAGAAGCTCCTACCTTGGATTAATCTTTGCTTCTTCCATCATTTTCTTGAAATCCTCCTTGGCCTGCATGATTTTGTTTTTCTTCTCCTTGCGCTCCTCTTCTGCTCGAGTTTTCACATACTGATCAAATACCTACAGAAACACCAGTCACCAACATAAAATATACACACCTGAAGCCACAAAAGCTCTAGGCAAGAGCAAGGAAAAATGGCATTTCTTTCCTTTTCTCCTTTTTCCTTTCCTCTCACCACAGAGCCAACATAGATGAGGTAGAAAGAGGAGATAGAGACCTGTGCGGAAGTTTTACACGTTCATGTTAACATTTTTCTAGGTTTTCTATGTTTAAGACAGCAGACCCTGTATTCTTGAAGCTTTCCATTTCCCTACCTCCATTTGAGGAAAAGCTTCTGGAGTGATATCTTGCTTAACAATAAAAACGCACTTTAGTTTTTCCCCTAACCGTTTTTTAATTTTTTTAATAAATAGATTATTCATTATGTCAGTATTTTAAGAGATACTGACAATTCTCACCATTTCATTCAGGTTTTGGGTACTCTCTGTATGCATACAACTTTCACTGTGTTAAAATATTAGATCTTCCCACCACAGGGAAAAATAAAAACTATAAACTCACTTATTTTCTTGCTGGCTTCTTCTGTTTCCAGACAAACTCTAATCATAACAAAAATCCCCTGCAACACTGATTAGTCTGGAAAGTTAGCAGGAACAAAAATATCAGACTGAGAACTTAGACAAAGCCTGTAGTAGCTGTGTCTGGATGTGGAGTGAATTTAGCTTCTCTTTTACCTGTTTTCTTTCTTTCGGGTTGAGAAGTAAGTAACGAGGATCAAAAACTATCTTGTGAAGCTCTTTCTCCCATGTTGAAAAAGCAGAGACCTTTAATTAAAGAAAGTCAGATTTTAACTAATGGTCAAGTTTCCTCAAATATACAGAAGTTGTACAGTTTTGCTTAAAAACTATAGGACATCTGATGAAAATAGGAAAACATCCTGAATTTTTCCTCACTAGTAGATGGCGGAGGTTCCCATAGCAAGTTTCAACACTAACTGGCTCTGAAAACTTCTAAATAATAACACAAGCTTAATTACTACTACTAAGTGCCATTTTTTTAAAAAGTACGTCATAAGAAAGCCTTGAGATTCTATGTTCTCATAACCCATGCTGGCTCTATACCTTTTTTTAAAGGTTATGAGCGTAAACAGTTCTGCTGCCAAAGAGATTAATTTAAACATGTTCGAGCTCATCTTAAATAAGCTTTATTAAAACTATCCCATAAAATCCAGTCATTGAAACTAAGTGAAAGCTGCACAGGCAGCTAGAACTACTTCCATTTTTAAAGTTACTATATAAACTTATATTCTAATAGCCTAATTTATCTATCAAAAGCAATTGGTATCAAGCAGATTTCAAATTTAGATAACTAAAAGCAGAAAGTCTCCCATTTAAGGCTTTTCTCACGTAGGAACATTTCCAAAAACATTAAGGATGCATTCAGTTTGTGTGTCCTATTTATTTTCAATGGCAGCTTTCAACGAGGTAATTACTTTACTTGGAAAAAAAGTTAAAAATCGATCTGTCTTGATGCTGTTTAATTTCAGTTACTTAGAAATCAAAATTTTGCTAGAACTGTAACATTCTTTGAAATATGGAGTCTTGTACCAACTACACCCATTAACCAGAGGAAGGATGAGATTGTTTTCCTTACATAAAGCCCCGCACGTTCTGAATTTACTGAGAATTGAGACCTCTGCCTGAGCCTGCCCCTCCCTCTCTCCCCTTCTCACATACACACACTGATTTCTCTGACCCCTCTTTCTAGAAGCATGTCCTTGAATTGTTTCATCCGAGCCTCCAGAGGGACAATGGCTCTCTCTCGAGCAGCTTTAATTTCAGCTTCCATAGCAGCCTCCTTCTCTGAATCAATATCTTTGTTATCATCTTTCCTGAAAAAAATTAAAACATGCAGTACAACTTGATAAGCAGCAGTAGGTTAGAAATTGAATGACACCAGGATAGAACAGACATAACCAATTGCTTCAGAAGCATAGGCTTACAAATCATGAAAGCCGTTCTTTGAGACTTGGATATGAATGCTTTCATACTGAAAGAGCTCAAGAATCAAGGTATTCTCAGTAACTTCAGTGCCAACAAATGACTCCAAGAAGTTAGCACATTCTGGTTGTATTCAATGGTCTCACCAGATGTGCAATAGATTTTATATTAACTGCACTAATTTTCTTATCTCCTGTTCAAGACCATGAGGCCCTGCGAAAAGACAATGGCTACGGGAGTTAGTTCAAATTGAGAATACCTTACAACCGTTACAACAGAAAATGCTGTAACACAGGTGATACATTCATCCACCAAAGCATTTCTGGAAAAAAATACGCTGTTTGTTGATTTATGTTTACTAAGAGCAAATGTGCTTTTTCCCAAAAAAACTCAAAGCCCTAACTGCTGACAACTTCATGATCATCCATAAGAGTACACAATAACAAATAAAATGGTAAAACTACTTTTAAAACAGTGCATGTAAGTAACTCAGAATGAAGTGACACATATCCCTTCCAATAGGCAAAACAGACCAAAAGACCTCAACAAAACTCCTAAACCTTTATAATAGAGTGAAAACTGAGTAATCACTATGATAATCTAGATGGCTGGATTTTTTTGCAACAGAATCTTGTGCACAGAAATTAACAAGCTAGATAAACAAGCAAACTATTTAAGATAAACTGCGCTCAAAATATTCCTTGGATTCACCAACTTATACCATTTATTTTATTCTGAATTATTTCCAAAGTAGATACTGTTTCCTCTATACATGAATTTCAGCTCTCAGAAATAGCAAAAACTTGAGCTGCTAAAGTAAAATAGCAGAAAGCTGACGACTGTGTTCACCAATTCTATTAGTTACTGTTCTACTCTGCTGAATACTACAGTATACACACTGCTCAGATGAAAAACTTTGGTTATTTTATCTACACAGACCACTTAACTATTGAAAAAGCAAACTTACTTGCGCTTTTTAATTTTAATAGGTTCATCTTCATTTGCTTCCTCTGTAGATTCATGCTCTTCTCTAACTGTAACAGATTTCAATAATACTTTAGATTTTATATTTATGAGAAGTTTGTAGTTTAGAAATGAAGCCTTGAGTAAAAACAGAGGACAATGTGTGCGGCAATAATGTATTCTGACACAGGAAGATACATGCTTTTCAGTCACTTTCAGAATAACACTATCAGAATTTGGTAGCACCACTACTGGACTTGTGGACAACTTTGGATTTAAAACAACAAACACTGACCTCTTATTTCCAGGGAAAAAAAAACTCAGGCTGAACAGTCTAATGAAGCACATTTGGATCTCCTGATTACCTACTTGCACTTTGCTCTCCTACAACTACCAAGCCCACGTGTCATCTCAGGATCATTTACTAGAACTCATGCCAGAAAGAAGCCTCATCTCAGCAGCCTCTTGAATGTTATCTGCTCTTGGTAGCTGTTTCCAAAACCGTATTCCAGTTGATGTTCTCTAAGTTAAATTCTCTTTTGAGAGCGCCCATTTGTACATTATGATTACTCTTTTCTGGCCCTCAAATTTCTTTTTGTTATAAAAGCACACACAGTCCCTTTTTTAGTCAGAAAAATTGTGGGTTTTTTTCAGCCTGTTGGCATTTAGAAAAAAATTAACTTTGTTAATATCTACTTTCTTCAACAGACAGTTTTTTCCCCCCAAAGGCCTCTATAAATCTGCATTCCCACCAGCCACCTTAAATTCCAAGCTATATACATTTTTCAATAGGTCCATATTTTTCTCTCACTTATTTAAATTTTACTAGCTTTGGAAATCAACATAAAATAAGTGATAAATTATATTCAGACTTCTTAAGAAGGCAGTAAGATTGCTCTTACTAAGTTTTTTTCCTTCCTCCATTCCTTTTTTATGAGGAGGTTCTTGAATAATTTTGTCCACATCAGCTCTTCCAATTAGGTCATCTGGTCGGTCCCACATTGAAAGACGAGTGGTAGGGTTATAGAAGAAAACACGCTCATCACCAGTCCACACCACACACCTAGAAATTTAACAGTCAGACAGGAAGTCTTGTATTATTTTTGTCTTCATTCATTCTGTATACCTGTTACCATATTCAAAGACTGAAGCAAGCATAATGGTCACAGACAGATCTAGGTTATGCATACTGCACAACTACCAGACATTCCTACTGTCCAAATGGGATACTGCATTATTGCTTTTCACTGCTAGCAGATTTGGAACGCAATTTTAAAAATGGTTTTATCAGGAGCTGCAGTGTACTCAGTTTTTCTCTAGAAAAATGTTTTAGACAGCTGAATCAGATTTTTTGGATAAAACGTACCTCATGTCTTCAATGTCCCACAAAGTATGCGAAAAAGCAACCTAATGAACTTGCAAGAATTTTATAAATGACAGGATGAAAGAACCACAGAGATAATTTGAAGGGAGACAGTTTTAAATATCAAACATCATTTAAAAAGCATCGATGGCTAAACTGCAAAAATTAAAACAATATCCCTTTCCCATCAGTAAGGTTTTTACCTTGGTCATCCAAACACACAAAGATGATTTACATAGAACAGAGGAACAGTAACCTCATCACAACACTATACACATATGCACCTGATGAGTATCTATGCCAAGCAAAAAAAAAAAGATACCACCACCAAACAGGGTTGTGTGTTTTGGCCAGCAGCCACACCTATTCATTCCCCAAGGCACAGGGGCAAAAGAAGTCCAAGATATTTTTTTTCAGCCAGTATTTCATACCAGATCAGGAAGAATCAGCAGCAGATGAAGGGGGCTGGGATATGAAATCTATATTGGTAACATAACTTGTAGGACTGCCGTTAGCATGTGGTAGAAAGGCTATACACACACCACTGAACATCTTAAGTACTGGCACAGTATGAACAGCGCTGGCTGGAGAAATCCAATGTTATTTGATACAGAAGCATACCAAGAACAGGATCTTCACACACTATTACGTGTTCTAACTACCCAGCAACCTTTCTGGTGGCTGCAGGAAGTGATGTTTCAGTCCCAAAGTAGCAGGCCATATGGAAAATCGTTACCTACCATGGGGTTCCTGGAATAGGAGTTGTTGCAACTGGCTTGGCCTTCTGAGCTGCTTTTTCTTCTTCAGTCATTTCTTCCTCTTTTGGCTCCTCAAGGAAAAAAGAAGTTACAGGATTCAGGCAATGACAGCTAGTTTTATTATTATTATAAAGTAACTAACTTATTTTAAACAAGTAAATATATTTTGAAACAACGCTAACAAACAGCTCACAATTACGCTTCATCCATGCTTAAAACAGAAGCAGTGGAAGTTCAACAGTAACTGTTACTCAAAAATCTCAATTCAGAAACCCTCTAAGTGTTTACTTAACTTTTTCCTTCAATGAAACCTTATTTAAATGCCTTCCTAGAACTGCATGGATCCTTGAATCAAGGCCTGAATACAGAGGCAAGGGTGTAGTTTCTCACAACGAAATGTTGATTTATTCTAAAAATTAATTAAGTTGAAAATGAGACACAGAGTAGGAAACAGGCAAAAATCTGCAATAACCTTTGTAGCAGAAATAAGCGAACTAGCAACCACCTCAGAAGTAAACAGGGTAGAGTGGTAATAAAGATCAGTAAATGAACTCTGTGCTTTTGCCTAATAAGCTACACTGAAGTTCACAGAAATCAGTATAAAAACTTTAATTTTTATTCGAACACCTTAGCATCTTCAAGAACTATGCTTTCTCAGCACAACAACATGCCTCATACATGAAAAGTTAACTCATACACTGTATTTTTCTTTTAAATGTCCCTGTTTTCTTATGTTTAAAAAAAAAAAAAAGGAGGGGGTGAAAAAAGCTATGAGTTCAAAAAGGAAGGCTTTCAAAATCATCCCAGGAATTTAAGAACTCAAATTACTAACAATGTCTCCTGTCAATATGTCTGGTCTACAGATGCATCCACATCTGTAGGATGTAGGATTCAAAATGGTGATACTGACTATTTGGTTGCAAGGTCTTTTACCTCTTTTATAAGTTCTTTTATAGGTTCTTCTTTTGGCTCTTCTTCTTCTGTCTCCATTGGTAAAGGTTCCTCCGTAGGTTCTTTAATTGGATCTTTAATCTTCTCTTCCATTTTTTCTAAATAAAGATAGAATTTTCCTTAGTATTATTAAGAAACCATTAAAAATAAACTTGTTGTGGTTCTATATCAGTATGATTTTCCAAGCACAACAGCAAAACAAAACTTATATTTAATGTATTTTCACCACTCTCTGTCCTTCTTGGGCTTTACAGTATCTACTTATAAAGATGTGATTATCTCCTGTACCAAGATCTATTTGGCACAGGAAAATGAAATACTGTAAGGCAGCCTGTTATATTAAAAAGCTAAAGTGTACCAACGTAAATAACTGAAACACCACCAAAAATATCAACCAACAGTTGCAACCAACAGTGCAACACTAAAGACCACTTTCAGATTTGAAATGCCATTGACAAAAAAAAAGAAAAATCAGAGAAAATTCATGGAGGATCATCTGAGGATTGCTCTGCACCCATTTAAAAAAATTATAAAAGTGTATAAACTTTACTGAGAAATTGGTATTTGCTATTTTAGATGTTTTCACGTCAGCAAAAAGAAGACCTATTATTTAAACCTGAATTATTAGAAAGACAAGTATTACTTAAACTAGCTAACTGTGTAAGTGTTCTGTATTTGTCTAAGTAAAGATTTCTTGTAACTGAAAAATTCAGCAGACAATAAAAAGAACTATTTGAGTCCGACTGGATTGGTTTTCCCAAAAGATTTTATAAACTGAGTAAGAGCCACAGGATTTTTGCCCCTTCTTCCTTATTTATGATACAAGAAAAATTTCCCTCCAACCTAACAGCACCCATAGATATAACCTGGATTCAAATAAACACAAGTGACAGAATATGACCAGAATATAACTTAGGGATGCAGACATGGGGACGTAATTTATTTTTCGTTATTTTCCAAACCTGTTCGGCTAGTTAGTTTTTGAAGATCTGAAATTTAGCATTTCAGTGATCTTCATTCTTTCCTGGTTTACAATCTTTAGAATAACTGAATTTTCCCCTCACTTTCTATCTTTCTGCAATTGGGATCTTCTCAAGTACTTTCTACTGGACTGTAAACACGCATTTACCCAAGTGTCACAGGATTTGGAAGCAACTCAAGAACCAAATACTTTTACAATACAGTGGGAAACAAAGAAACTGCAACTTTCAGACTCAAGACCAACTCAAATGGCTACTTATAATCAGGATTTCGAAGTATTCTTAAGCAAGGTAAGGGATTAGAAATATTCTCGTTCACATTTTCAAACACAACCATTAATGGTCTAAGCAACCTTGCCGAGTGTACAGTTATATTAAAGAAAAAAAAAAGGTACCTTTTTCTTTCAGTTCTTGGGGTTTTTCCCATGTTGATTCCAAAGTCCTATTGTTATAATAGTAAGTCTTTCCATCTGCTGTTTTGTACTCTGTCCACTCAGAGACTGATGTTGCTCCAGCCAATGTAGCAGGTGAAGCGGCAATAGCAACCTGAGGATGGATCATAGGTACAATAGGAGGGGCCATGCCTGGCAAGACACCTGTATAAAGAAGGCAAAAACAAAAAAAAGAAAAGTAAGTGACAATGAAGTACCTAAGAACCAAAACCTAGCACTTTACTGACTTAATTTACAAATAATCAACTTATATAAGTAAATATAAAGATTGTTTTCAAAATTAAGTTGGAAAGCAATGCAGTTACTAAATTTCCTTCCTATGTTTTACAATCAGTAATGCCCATATTACCAGGCAAGTTAGATAGCTTTTTATTTTAATTAATGTATAATTCTGCACAGCACAAAGCTTGTTAGTTTTCAGACGTTTGCTTTAATACTTCAAAATTAAGTGCTCTATTTAAAAAGTCTTTATTAGATTGCTATAATACATAATTATTTTTTTAAAAAAATATAATTCACTGTTTAATTATGCTGTCATTTTAAGATATTCCTATTGCTCTTGAAAAAAAGATGGTGGTTTGAATTTGAGCCATATAATATGGAGCAGAACTCTGATAAATATTAAATCTTGACTTAAAAAAAGTTAACATCAATTCAGAGTCTTGGATAAAAACTGAAGAGAATGAAATAATTTCAGATTGTGTGATGGTTTTGTTTAGTACTGCAGACCGATTGGAAAAAACATTTTATTCACATCCTAAAGCAAAATGGCAAACAAATATCGAAAGATAAGAAAGCCAGAATGTTACATTATCCTATTATTTCTCTACTCATCCCAACAAAATGGGTATACTGAACATATTTTGAATGAGAAGTTCTAGAAAAATAGATTGGCTAGGACTAGAACTACAAGATCATAATTTTGAGCCTTTAATATTTATATGAAAAAGTCTACCTTTTAAATAATGGAAAAGCACACATTATACATTGCCATGAAGTATTCTCAGTAAGTGATTTTTCTTAAATCCACAATTTGAAAAATGAGAATTTATACTAAGACGCACATACACGCACACCAACATGCGAGCACAGTCATGTCACTATACATGTGGAAGTAGGAAAAACAAAAATCCACACACAAGAAACTAATAACTAAGAAGTATGGGCATGAAGAGATTCACAGTTATTACAGAACTCAATGATTACAGAAAATTGTACTGGATTTTTTGTATAAAATAAGCTAACACTAACAGTTATTTGGGAAAGTTATTTCCTGGCCAAATATGATATTTGCATTTATACTGGTTTTGAAAATAAAGTATATATATTCATTCAATTGGGGAAGCAAATAAATAAATGATAAACAACAACATTCACTACCATGCCAACTTACAGACAAAACGAACTAAGATGGTTTTGAAAATTACCGGTCTTGGTGGTAGCGACTGTCTTTACATACGGGCAGCTGACTATTTGCATCATTGCTACACCTGTAAAATGGATAAGCAAGCATGTTGGAAAGCTGCCATTGTACGTCAGCTACCACTGGGAGTCTGGATGCTACAGATTTCTGCTATAATTTGGAATGCCATTTTGAGCTGGCAAAGAGAAAGCCTCCCAGCAAGAAAATGTGAATTATTTTTGCTCCAACATTTTATTCCAGATCAAATAGAAAACTAATTTTAAGCCGCAGCAACAGTTTCTGCCTACATTAAACCAGCTGTTTAGCAAATTACTGGGATGTCATTAAAAAGAAAAAAGGTATTTCAGTGAACACTCAGGGGTTTAAGTTCATCCAAGGGGGAACTCAGCTCTCCTTGTAGGGCTGTACCATGGGAAGTTACTCTACTAATGGTGCTGCTTTCCACTGATAGCCTTTGCTCAGACAGATCAGGGGAGCAGCAACAAAGTGAAACTAGCGGTCTTTGCTATTTTCACTCTGCTGCTGCATTTAGAAAGCAGTGGTAAGAGTAGAAGGACTAGCAAGGCGTGGCAGGGTGAAAGCCAAGTTCAACCCAGAGGGAAAGCTGAGGTTATGAGGCTCATTACGGAAAGACTGGAGGTGAAAGAAGGGGAGAGAAAAGAAAGAGAAGCAATGAAGCTACAAACAGAGGTACACAAAGCTGCACTAGGTCAGTGGCAGCGAATATTTTCTTTATTTTCCATTATCAAGAATGTCATAAGCTGAAAAATGCTCTAAGCAGCATAACTAGCCCTCAAAAAGGTAGCATCATGCACTGTTCTGCTCTCCAGCTCATTAAGAAATGACATAGAAAGGCCACAAAGAGGAAAGCATCTCATCCTCTTCAATTACATGAAAAATTCAGTAGGAAGCTAGACAAGGGTAAGGGGAATGTATTTCCAAAAACCTTCATTTTAGGGTGCAGAAGGAAACTGTAGAAGTTCTCTCTACATTGGTCCAGTCTGGACACTCAGAAACTTCCCCTTAAATGGTTTCAATTCATCATCTGAGGTTGGAAATCCTCCAGCACAAAGTGAAATTAAACCCCTGTGTTTACAAGCAAAGTACTTTGTATTTTTTGTTAGAGATCTAGTACAGAAAGCATACAAAAATACTGCCAATTTATTTAAAAATATTTGTGAGAAGACAGAATTGTAATGTTCTTTAATAATAATTTCAATTAAAGAATTCAAAACTAGTTTTATAAAAAAAAGTATGAATTGAGACACAAAAACATTGACTCAAACAGCACTGAATGAAGTGTTTGTCTAAATTTGCACAGGGGGGAGGTTCATGCTATGAACTTGAAAATGAATCTGAAAATTCGTTTTGTTAAGGAAGTTACAGCATGTCTTAAAACTGGTTCAACATAAACAACGCCATCTGCGGGATCACTGAAATTAGAGATACTGCAGTGCAGGTAAGACTAGTAAACACCCAAGCTGTTTCCTCTGCCAAGTTCAAACATAACTAACTTTTAACGTATGAATTAAGAGAAAGCAGACTTACTTTTTAAGATCTGAGATTATAAGATATCACTAATCAACTCCTCCATTGTTCCGTCTTACTATAGTATAATACAGAAATTAACTTTGAAATCACTTGACAATGGTATTGTTCAGCTCCGTAACTTGAAAGCAATCTGGTTGATATTATATCTAGTGCCGAAAGCCCCAAACATCTACACAGTAAAACTCTGTATGCCTTTTTAACTTCACTTTATACTGTCATGGAGTAATTTTGACTTCTCTTTTGCTTCTTATTACTGTAAAATATTTTAAAGGTTTCCTTTTCTTTCACAGTGTTTATAAACCACTACAACCAACTCAAGCCAGAATTAACTGAAAGTAGACTGATTTTATTCTGTAATCAGGTAAAATGACAAATTAGACTCATTAGTGGAAGGACACATTTTACTGGTAGGTATCCTTCCTATGTATTACGGATTCACCCAAAAGGCTCATCTCTCTGGGAGAACAGAAGAGGCTAGATCTAAAGACTTGCTGCCAGTAAAGTTCTGAAAAAAATAATTTTCAAAAACGAGTTTAAGAAGATCTTGTTCTGTCTTTCCTTCTGTATTGCACTACTCACAAAACTTTTTGACTGAGAGCTTAGAAAAAAAAACCAACCCAAGCACACACTCCAGTGTATCCATTTTCACTGGCACTCTTCTCTACTGCTTTGACCATCCACATTTTACCTGAGAGTTCACACTCAAGTAGATAATTATATCCTTCAAAGGTACATAAGGACCCTCCACTCTATGCTGATCCCTTGCTGGCAATGTCAGAAATTGCAGTTAAGAATGTTCAGCTGACCACCTTTAAGGCTTAACCCTTTTTATTGTTCTTCCAAACCTCACAAATATACAGACATCAGAATTCTCCCTCCATCCTTTATCCATTTTTTGTTCAGCCTTGAATATCAAGTTCAGAACAGGTTTTTTTTTTTTCCGCTGTCTTAAAACAATGACTACTACACTGCGATTTCCTTTTCAAGCAAATTACAGATTAAAGTAGCTTAGCTCAGTTATTTTAGAAGACTATCTTAAAAGTAGAGGCAACTAAAAGCTGCTCCTCTCTTCTAGTTAACAGAACTAATGCCCATTTTAACTACTTTGATGCTAATATCCTTTATCAAAGAAGTGTTCTAAAGGATTACTTTTCACCTGACCAATTTGATGGAAGGTAAAGGCCTCCCTTCATATGCACTGGATCGATGTGTTAAAAGGACAGCAGGAAAGAAGTCACCTCACTCAGCTTGTACAGAGTCAAAAATATGAGGATGCTGCTCAGAGCTGCCTCTTTGTAATTCTTAATCAGAAAGTAACTTGTATCCAATAAAACTGCAATCTCAAACCTTCCTTTGCAACAGAAAATCATCAGCTCTTGGTACACATGCACACTGAAAAAACATTGATGACTGTTGTACTAGAACAGGAACTCAACCATATCCATGCAAATTGAAACATGGCATTTAAGCAGTCAGTGGCTTTAGCAGCCTCTTGGAAGGACCTCTGCAGCAATTACAAACTGCAGTCAAATCCAAAATTTTGCCAGCCTAAAAGTCTTTAAGTATCTAAATACTTTATAAAAACTTACGAAAATATGATTTACCCAGGAACCAGTGGGCTGCCATCTAAACTTTCTTCTCAATGATCCTTACATCTAAAGCCTATGACTAATAGCCTAGCATTTTGAATACCTTCATTATGGTCCTCAGTTTAAATCTCAATATTTTGCACACGCATTCAGCATCATACTTGATAGCTGCAAATCAAGAGAAGTGGAAACACCTAACATCATTCACGTATAATGTGTTTGAATGGCAATTTTTTCTGCTTATATATATTACTTTCTTTTAGTTTCTTTCAGCTATAATCCACGTCCTAATGAATATTTACTCAAAAGACTTAAGGTCTAAACCAAGCAAGTAGAAAAAAATTATAGCAATATTGCAATTAGTAAAATATAGTGCTACAATATTCTCAGAGCCACATACGGATTCTGTCTGGAAGCTTTTTTTTTTTTTAAATAGGATGACAAGATAGACCTGTGCCATAGATTAAGAAGAGTTTAGTACAATTCTTGTATTTTCCTATCATCTAAAAGGAAAAGGTTTACATGTTTAAACGCAGCTGTTTTCTGATATGTATATCAAAGAACTAGAAGTCAAAAAATGTCACGTTCTTTGTTAATTAAAAAGTCTGTCTGCTAACCCTGAATTCTTTGAAAAATACTCTGAGTGGAGAGGATTCAGGCAAGTTTCGTACACAGTGGACGCATGAGTGCAAACAAATTGACAACATGGACATGTAGCAGACAAGACAATTACAGTTTGCCAATTTACCTGGAAGTGGAATAGGCATGCCAGGAAGGGGGACACGAAATGGAGGTACCATTACTGGTGGAAAAGCAGGAATTGCTGCAGTTGGTTGAGGTACTGCATGAGGAACTGCAGGAGGCAATGTCTGTGGGACTGGCTGGGGTACAGTCTGCACAGGTGTAGCAGAAGGAGCAGAGGTTGAAACACTGACTGATGGTGTGGCAACTGAAACACCCGAACTCGGGGTCTGGTCTTGTGTGGTAGGTGCTGATAAAAAAAAAAAAAGCAAAGAACACCTTGTATCTTAGACACTACAATATATTTGCTGCAAACATACTGGTGCTCTGTTTCCCAACAGATGTTATATAAGCAGATATGCTTAGTTATAATCATCAGGAAGACACTCCTGGACAAAAAAAAAGAATTGCCTGCTCTGTAATATTAAATATTCACAAACAAAGTCAATTTCAAATTTTACTTTGTCCCACTCTTTACACCTAATAAGTCTCTACAGCAGTAGCAAGGGTGTATCAAAGGACAAATACAGCCTGAAATTAAATTCTACTCTGTATCCCTGTTCAGAAAAATACAAAGGGAATGTTACAGAGAGTTTCAAATAGAAAAAGGTTGTTCTTATGTTAAATGAACACAGGTTCTGCTTTTTAACAATAATGGCAGCAGCTTGTGCATGACAACAGTCTGTCTAAAACTATCCTTATTAAGCTGTGATCCAAGAATGGCAAAATGTCAATAAAAAAAGTGTAAATAAGCAAGGAAAAGGAAAGTACTTTTGTTCAGAAGCTGCAAGAACTTCCTTGGTCTTCAGTGCCTCCCAGTGGGAAAATACACTACTAGCATTCAATTCCATAATCCTTGCAGCATGACTGAAATCAGCACTTAACCAAGAATAGTGCTACGTGTCAAAGCACTGGCAAACAGGAACCAGAGACATGACTGATTAAACTTATTGACCAGCCTTGCAAATTTACACTGTAAGATTTGGTGGAGGGGAGGAGGAACTGTTGTAAAAATGAGCTCATTAAAAAAAAAAAACAAAACACACCACACCAACTTATGACCATATTCTATATGGGCATACTGTGCATTTTCTTCAGTACTTAATGACTACCAAAAGCATTCCCAGTAACATACCAGTATTAGCATATTAAAATAAAGATTTTTGATCTGTTGTTAAATGCTTCAGAAAGGGTGAAAGTTCTTAGCACTCCCTAAAATTTAGGGAAACAGAGCAGACAGTCAGTATGTGATTTGTTTTAAGACCTCAGTCAAATCAGTACCAGACAAGAATGAAGATCAGCCAGAAGTCCCAGGTTTTTTTTACAGGCCAAGTCTGAGAGTTACAAAATTATTTTAAATGATAAAATTTTAACGCCTAGGCACAGACACCAACAGTAACAGTTCTTGAAAGCAAAGACAGTTTAGCAGGTAGAACAGGTAGAAGTGGCACAGATTCTCAGCATTCGATATTAGGAAACTTTGCTTCAGAGAAGGTCCATAAAGTGCTATTCCAAAAGTAGGATCAGTTCTCAAAAGCCTAGCATTAGACCAGACTAACATTCACCTCCTACCTGATTCTTGTTACTCAGTAAAATAGTTAAAGTAGACCATATTTCAACAAAGCAGCTGAACACAGTACTAAGTTACCTTTCAAATTTCAGTGTGAACTGAAAGCATAATTTGAGGGTTACCTAAATTTGACTTCCTTTCATACACAGATCTCTGAAGTTTGGGTTAAATGGTGAGTTAAGCTTGACTTGTCTCACCTGTTACAGGAAAAAGATGAAGTAATTCCAGAGGATGCAACTATACACTACAGCTGGAGTTAGAACAGTTCAGCAACTGCTCGTCTTCTGCATACTCTTTGGCCTGACTCAGTGCACACATTTTCGCCAGCACAGCTACAATGATCAAGACTATCAAACAATAGGATTCCTGATCAGCATAAATAATGTGCTTTCAGTAGCCCTGCACGTAGACAGTAACACTAACCAAACTGTCCCTTAACATGCGTACCTTGCTTTGTTCATGCTATGTGATCTTACTCATTTGCTGTTGACACACTCACGTGCAAAGAGATCTACTGTACGTAATACACATCTCTATATAGATGCTCTGCACTAGAGGCATTTTGTTAGCATATATATGCCAAAGTATAGTATAAGTCACACTATTTATAATATATGCAGATACTATGTATAAACATGCATTATGTGCACGCTGCATAAATTCAGCCCCCTTTCCTGAGGTTCCCTCAGTTGGAAAGTCCTTAAAAGCAAAGGCTCAGCCCACGTAAACAGCAGTAATCTTCAGACTATTATTCAAAGGTCATGAGCGAACAATAATGGCTCTAAGGACTTTCTTCTTCCTCTTTTGTGCAACTCTAGCAAACAGGAACTTACAAGGCTTAGTCAGAAGAATAACGCTTATAAAAGTAATACACCAGAAGCAGCTCTATTCTGCAATCAACCCATTCTCCGCAGCCCAGGAGCAGCACTCAAAGATCCAGCCTCTTAAAGCAACAGATGCCATTTTGGAAACAAAGAGGAAATTGCTACAACTATAATTCCTACCTCAGATTAGCTTTCTTATGAAATACTTTTAAAAACATTTCAGCTTTATCTATAATCAAAAGGAAATGGATGCATAACAGCTTTGAGATGATGTGATAATAGGAGAAGAAAAATACACAAAGACCTAGAGAACTCTTTCAGATGGGGGGGCGGGTGGGGGGGGCAAAAAAAAAAAGAGGGTCCAATGCAAGGTTCCTCTGATTTAAATACTGTACTTAAAAGTCATACTTCACTTTATGTTCAAGCAACTTTTTCTGGGATACCATGTTTTTGCTGCCGTAATTCCCCACCACAGCATCCCCACCATCTGCTCCCCATGATCGCAAAGCTTGAGAAACCCTCAGTTACTCACTGGAAATCGTCTGTGAAACTGAAGTGGCTGTGGGTGGGGTAGAGGGTGTGGGGGGATGAGGAATCCAGG